CTTTGTCGCGAAAGTACAACTATCATGGTGCCCTGCTCTACCTATTGCAAGTTCATTCCTCCCTCATTCTACCCCTGGCATCACCCTTCCACTTCCCCAAAGGCTATTTCCGAAACTGCTGTCAGAGCAGACTTTCCAAGGTGCAAGTTCGCTTGATTTCCCAGTGTCTAGAAGGAAATCACAATGGTCCAAAAGATCTCTGAGGTTCAGGAGATCTGCTTAGGCTTCCCTGATTTCATCTCCTGCCAATTTGACTCTCAACAAGCTTAAAGTCTGCTGTTGGAGCTTTTCATTGAATTCAATATTTAGTTAATGTAGCATCCACTTATATACTCTTTCCTAGTATTTTCTCACCCTGCTAGTCCTTACTCAGAGAATTATCCAAGTCAGAGATTCCCAAATGTATTTGGCTTATTGCCTCCTATTTTAGAAAGAAAAAAAAAAACTTTAATCAGCAGCCCCCCGGAAATTCCACTTTAAGTGATTCAACAGAAAGCCTTCCCAGTTCACTTGAGGCTTCTACCACCTCCTTAGCCCAGGGTCTCCCAGGAGCAGTTTCCTCTCCTCTGGGAAAACTAACACAGCAACTCCGTCATCATGTGCTCTCACAATATTCTCATTTTATTCTCCTCATACGAATTCTGTGCTTAATATTCTGAATCACCACTTCTCCCCGCCCCCTCCGCCTTATATGGTAAATTACAGCTGAACAGGCTTTTTGGAATATGTTTACTGCTGGATTCATCAAGTCTGAAATAGTCACTAAGCAAGTGGTAAGTACTGAATCAATTACTAAATAAATGGATACAGACAGTATCAACTTTTTAAATAATTATTTTTACCCATTATTCCTGAGTTTATACTCTTAACGAACAGCGTGAGAAATATTTGATTTAAGTATATAGTTACTTAGTGACAAAAATCAAATTCCTCCAGAACCAACTTTCTTGTTGTTTAGGGGCCATCCCTACTGATATATGGCATAATTGTGCCCACCAGATAGTAGGTGCTCAGATGGTAATACACAGCTGTCTGGATCCAGTAATGTTGGTGGTCACTAGGGACTGGTATCAGGTCCACCCTGGGACTCATGGGAAGGAGGAATGTAGTACAAGGGATCAAAATCAAGGACGAGCCTATGCAAGAAATCCACTCCAGCCCTGTGTGCTACCTCCCCAGCTCTGAACAACCTGGGTTATTCCAAGTCCTGCTTCTTTTCAAGCTGAAGGCCTACCAATGCAGCTTCTGCTCATTTGTGGAGTCCTTCATGATTATTCTGTTTCTTGTGTTTTAAACCACAGTGCTTCACATATATGAAAGTTATAATTATACCTTCTCCTGGTTGAAAAAAGTCTCCTAAGGATTCCTCACAAGGCCGAGTGGTTTATCCCATCACTATCCTGATTTCGCTAAGACTGCCCCAAACTGCCATGTACAACTGACCCTCGAACAACACATGAAGAGGTGATAATGCCCCACAATTGACAATTCACTTATAACTTATAACTTATATATAACTTATAACTTATATATAACTTATATATAACTTATATAACTTATATATACTTATATATAACTTATATATAACTTATAACTTCTGACTCCCAATTTGTCAGAAACCTTACAGGTATCATAATCAACATCTTTTCTGTATAATACACTGAACGGAGACTATTTCCTATACTACACTCATATGACAAAGTAAACTTCAGAAAATTGTAAGTGAATACATACGAAAAACTATCCTCCTGATAATTTCCATTTTGACAGACTGAGAAGGAAAAGGAAAGAAGGGTTCAAAAACCTCTGCCTAGAAGATGGGCCCCATATGAATCAACGCCTTGGTTTTCAGAAACCGGTTTATCATCTTCAATGACAAACTGCCATGAATACACAACTCTAACCCAATATTTACCACTCATCTGGCTAGATTAACTGATCTCTTTCTAAAAGGCACATAGAATTTTAAATTGTCTTCCTTTAGTTCAAGTCCACATACAATCTTCATTTTATGCAGTTATACCAAAAGTTGTTTATTGACTTGAGAACCTCAATGCACCAGTCTTTCCTCATCTTCTCAGAATCTCTGACACCATTCAGCTTTCCCCACAGAGCCTAATTGCCCTGTTCTTCTCTTTGTTACCTCTCTTGCATAAAAGAACTGATTATCTTAATCCATAAATGTCACATGAGTAGCCTGAGGCAGCACATTTCTAACCAGCAACAAGGGAGCCATAAAAAAAAGAAAACTGCTCAGAGTGTAGTTATATGTACAGACTGCGAGCATGTGAGCGCACACACACACACACACACACACACACACACACACACACACACATACACACTCTCCTCTCTCTCTCTCTCTGCTGCCCCGTAAGGGAGCACCTCACCCTCCTAGTTTTGCATGGCTTCTCCTCTCCTTTCCTCCTTCTCTTTCTTTATTCTTCCTTCCCACCATCCCTTCCTTCCTTCCTTCCCACCATCCCTCCCTCCCTCCCTCCCTCCCTCCCTCCCTCCCTCCTTCCCTCCCTGCTCTCTCTCTCTCTCTCTCTCTCTCTTTTTAGTTTTTGGGCCACACCCAGTGGTGCTCAAGGCTTACTGCTGGTTGTGCTTAGGAATTACTCCTGGTGGGGTTCAGGGGACTATATGGGGTTCTGAGGACCAAACTCAGGTTGGCCATGGCCATATACAAGATAAGTGCCCTACCCACTCACTACACTATCTCTCCAGCACCTCATCTTTTTTCTTCTTCCTATCTCTGTCTCTCCTGTTTGTCTTGTTCCCATATTCCCACATGAATTCTCCACTATCCCCCACAAACAGGCAACAGGATCCTGCACACTTGGCATGAGTCTTGTTAGCAGCAAGCGAATTCCAGCCTGCAGCTCTTTATCAATACAGAGGAGCTGCCTGTATGATTTTCTTATGAGTATGTGCAGGATAGTATGTAAACATTTAATCTGACAGATCTATGCAGTGTTAATTTTTTTTCTTTATGCAACAGAGGGTTTGGTAGAAAAATTTCCCCATATCTTTTTATACTATTTAAAAAAGCTGAAGTTTGCATTGCCAACAAAAGTGTGAAATGTTCATAACCTTCCTCTCCAAGAGAAGCCATTCAAGTCTGATTATTTTTCTAAGTAATTTTAATTAAAGAGGAGAGAGAGAGAGAGAGAGAGAGAGGAGAGAGAGAGAAGAGAGAGCGAGCAGAAATCAGACTCCATAGGTGAAGCCAATGATGGTGTCCTGGAATAAAGTGGAACAATTCTAATGCCCTATTCCTAAAGTTCCTAATGTGGATAACAAGGGAATTCTGTAGTACTCACTTCCTTGCTCCTATAAGATTAGTTAAAAAAAAAATTACCCTGAATCACAAAAGAGCTATTTTATGTACATCAATACTTTAGAGTTACCTTTAATCTTATTCTCTTTGCCTTCAAAACCGACAACTCATTGAAACCATTCAAGGAAGAGAAGTAACTGTTAAAAAGTTAATGATTAAATACAAAAACACAGTTTTGTCATCTGAAAACATTCTTTATTTCAGCAGTATGTTAACATATTCTGGTAAAGAAAATAGCTGTAACAAAACCAGGTTAAAAAATAAAATTACATTATACTTGCAATAGTTCAGCAAGATAATAAGAGTGACCCAATATGTGATTAGTTATGACAAAGGAATAACAAAGTAACCCATGAGCTCAAAATCTACTTCAGTAATTTTTTTACATTCTTATATATAAATATACTGTATATTTGTATACACACACTTATACATATACATGTTCTGTATACATAATAAATACACATTGGCTTAGTCTATCCTTTTTGTCTTTGTCAGAAATAGCAAAGGGTAATTTGCAGGAAATCCTGAGTTATTCTCCATATCTTCTTCAAAAAGAATAAACAGGATTGTCCTGATTCTTATAAATGTACCAAGTATTTTCCCCTTACAAAACTGAACTAATAATATCCAGTCAAGTTTAATTTTTAATAAACAAATGTCCTTCTGTGTTTGTTAGTGATCTTCAATTCTAAACCTGTAAGATTTTATCAGGAAGTCCATTAATATCTAAAACCAAATATCTCATAAGTTCCAGGAGGTTCACCCCATGGCTTGGAGACCAGCCGCACATGCTAGGGGAAAAGGCAGCTTAGATAGAGAAGAGAACACCAAATAAAGGGTGTTGGGAGGATCCTCCCAGGATGGGAGATGCATGCTGAAAGTAGACTATAGATCGAATATGATTGCCACTCAATGCCTCTTTTGCAAACCACAGCACCCAAAAGGCAAGAGAGAACAAAAAGGAATGCTCTGCCACTGAGGTGGGGTGGGATGAAGGGGGTGGGGGAGATGGGAGGGATGCTGGGACCCGTGGTAGTGGATGATGGCCACTGGTGGAGGGATGGGTACTCGATCACTGTATAACTGAAACCCAAGCACAAAAATTTATAAGTTACAACTGTACCTCATGGTGTTTCACTAATAAAAATAAATATATATATATATATCTCAAAGCAAATATAAGTGTATAATTTTGAAATGTTTAATTAATGAATGAAATTATACAGATTACATGTCAGATATCCTACCAAAAAAAAGGTCTCATGTTAACTCTTCATATGTAATTTTTATATTCTAGAATTCTAAAGAATTCTAATCTGTTTGAAACTTTATTTTGTCTTTTAGTTTTGTTTGGGGATACTCAGTGGTACATTAAGTGGTACTCAGCAGCTATTTCTGGCTCTGTGCTCAGGAGTGACCCTGAGCAGTACTAACGGACTCAATGGGACTGTATGTGATAAGGAGGACAGGAAATAGAGTCAGTCCCATGCAAGGCAAGTGCCTTACTCTTTTTCTTTCTTTCTGGGCCCTAAAATCTCTTCCTAACAAATGCTTTTTCTCCCTTCAATATAAATTCTTGTCTTTTATGAACTTGTACTGAGATTCAACTATGGACAGAAAACTAGTAGCAAAATCAATTTATAACTCAACTCACAACATTGTGTGATCTTCTGGATGTTGGAAGAGATCCGCTGGGCCAGCTGGGCAGGGTCACCACCAATTCCTGGAGTGTAAGACATGGCTGATTTGCTTTGTCAATAATTTCATCAGATGCTGGTGAACTGTGCTGTTTTCAAAGCAGCCACCTAAATAATAAAAAGAAATAATCACATAATTTATTTATTTATTGGCTTTTTGGGTCACACCCAGCAACGCACAGGGGTTAATTCTGGCTCTGCACTCAGAAATTACTCCTGGCGGTGCTCAGGGTGCTATATAGGATGCTGGGAATGGAACCCGGGTCAACAGTGTGCAAGGCAAACACCCTACCCACTGTACTATCACTCCAGCCCCCACATAATTTATTTTTAAAGACACTGGTTTTCACTTTCCAAATTATCAATCTGGGATATTACATTACTAACTTGATTAGCATAACAGAGTTGAAGTTTAGCTAAGGGGCACAGCAAGTAAAACTCTCATGTTTAGCAAAAAAAAAAATTGTATTTGACAGGGCAGTAACACATTAATTAAATGTTCATATTGCACATTCTCTCTGAACTTTTTTTTTATTGTTGTTCTCTTGGAGGATGAGTTATTCAGTCCCTTTTCTGTACATAATTTTAATTGTTTATGCACTTTCTCCTGGAGTAAATGTAAAAAAATATACGGAAAGGCCCACAAGCTGTCTACCTTTCTTTCCACAATATTGAAAATAATTCCTAGTACAGAATACTTATTTGTTAAATCAAACACAGATTTCAGAATATTCCCAGAATTTGTGTTATATATAATTTAATACACTCTCAGCTCAGAATCATAAGACTACCAGGACTTCAATTTTACTGGGAAAGAAGATCAAATTTGAGAAAGAAGAGTTGACAAGCAAAATAAAGGAACACTATAAAATGCTCATTACCACTTCCTGACACAACAGGAATAACTTTTTTTCCCAGAAATCAGCCTCTTACAACAGGCACTAAGTAGTACTATGGTATTGGCGTTTGTGTGGGCTGGGGGTGGGGGTGGGGTGTTCAGGGGTAGGTAAAATGAAGTTCTTTTTTCAGTCCATACCATGGAGAATGAAAAGACATGCCCTTCCATTCAGTACTACAGGGAATAACAAAGAATTTCAACTAACAATATACCTCTCTTTCACTCCTATGCAGTGAGTACTGACAAGTTACAAGCAGTAACTTTGTAAGCCAACTCTCTGAGACTGAGTTCCTTATATGTCAGCATGAAGCCATGGTTGGAAACTGCAAGCAAGCAAACAAAGATAACATATTTGCTCAAAGTCAGTGTGTCACTTAAGAAAACAAAAAGTCCATAATGTGAAGCAACCAAATAAATACAAAAGCAAAAAAAAAGAAAGAAAGAAAGAAAGAAAGAAAGAAAGAAGGAAAGAAAGAAAGAAAGAAAGAAAGAAAGAAAGAAAGAAAGAGTTAGGAAAAGGAAATACCACAACTACATTTACTTAAAATTGACTGAACAAACACAATATTGGATACCTGGGTTTGGCTGGTATAAAAAACAAGGTTAAAGATGAGAAACCTGGTGTGAAAAGGCCCAGGATATGAGGACAGCATAAATGCAGTGTGTCATTTACCACTGGGGTGATATAAAGGGAAGGGAAGTTCCTGGAGAAACCTGAATCAGATGGCTCAAGGCAGGGCCAAGCAGCATACAACAGAGCAAAGGGAAGAGAGGGAAGATATTATGCAGCGGCAAAGTGAAAAGCATTACCCGTGTGCCATCTAATTTTCAAATTCTCCTTTTCAAGTTGGTGACAGCATAAACCTCATCTTAAAGAGAAGAGCTACGGCTCATAAACATTAGGTAACTGAAAAAGCAGTGCAACCCACCTGTGAGGCGGTGGTAGGATTCTTTTTTCCAAAGCTACCCTAGTGTGCTTCCACACAAATGTCCAAACAGAAACATAATAAATAAGGAAGTGCTCCCTATTTAAACCCTGATGCTAGGTTTAGTTTCAATACGATACTGTAAGAAGTCACGGGAGGGTTCTGAGAGGGAAGTTATAATGGTATGTAGGACTCTGTTCTAAGGGTCAAACTAGGCTGGGAGTACCCCAGCTGACCTGCTGAGACAGGCAGAACAGCATTGGTTCCCAACCTTGAAACTGGTGCCTAATGCCAAGTACCAAGTCACCCCAAACTTCAGGGAGCTTACAGATACTTTCCATACCGATCAAATTCAACTCAGCATAACCACTACAGCAGGGTAGAAGGAATGAGCATCCTTCCAGGTGGTCTTGGATTTGAGACTGGAAGCCATGGAAGGAACGGGGGACCATGTTGAACAAGAATGAAATTCTAGAGACAATGAGACCAATTCCATTCCAAGAATCCTACAAAACACCAGATAGATCTCTAAATTCTACATTTTTCCTGCAAAAAAGAGTTTTTTTTCTGGGAGACCAGGCAGATAGTAACAGTGGATAAGGTTGCATGCATCTGACGAGGGCCGATTCCTGGCACCCATATGGTCCCCCAAGTCTGCCAGGAGTGACCACTGAGAAAGAGCCAGGAGTGGAAAAAAAAAAGCTTTACTGTGACATACCATAATATTCAGCTTTCTAAAATGTACAAACGTATGGTGTTTGAAGATATTCACAAAGTTGGACAGACATGATCAATTTTAGAGTATCTCATTATACCACAAACCACCATTCCCAGACAGTCATTAGTCATGTCTTGCAAACCTCTCCACCTATAGACTATCACTATTCTATTTCATGTCTATTAGTTTTCTAGTTTCGTACAATTAATGTGCATGGGATAATACAATATGTGTTGTTCTGTGACTTCTCAGTGCATTTTTGAGTTCTATTCATAGTGTAATGAGTATCGATAGTCATTTTTTTTGCTATACTATTCCAAATAATATTCCACTGCACAGAAAGAAATTTTCTCCTACTTCAAAGATATTCTTTTTGTCCTTTCAATGTTATCTCAAGAAAACCTGGCTTCCAGTCACCATAAGCATCAAATAAGGAATTGCTTCTTTTTCTTACTTACGTCTTCTCTTAGAGGAACCTCTTCAATTCATATAATATCACTATAAGCTTCACATATGATTGTACCATACCTGTTTCAAGTCATACCCTTAACTCTACATTAACACTATGTTCTTTTTGTTTTGGGGGCCATGCAGGCTAATACTAAAGGCTACTCACAGTTCTGGGCTCCCAGCAGTTCTTGGGAACCCTTGATATGCAATACATATGCTCAGTCTTTGACTATTTCTGTGGCTCTACACAAATCCAATGAGTTATTCAGGGTTGTCATATCTCTGAAGCTAAATGGACCTGCCAACTATCTTTTTAGCTTCCAGATGAACAACTGGAAATCTCTACCACAGGCAAAAACACTTAGCACTTAGAATTACTGCTAGGATTAAAATGAGATAATGCACATCTGGGACTAAAAGTTTTTCCAATTTACCCATAGAAAGGTATGATCTGCCCTTACATCTTTCAGGGCTAGCATAAACGGATCATGGCAACTGCACCTGCATCAGAACCACTTTATTACCCAATGCCTTCTACTGCCAGACTGTAGGTGATAATTATTGATCCTGTCACCTTGAATTCATGTCTTGAATTAAGGACTGTAGCGGTTTCAATCATTCTCAAAACTCAGACAACCTACTGTGAACCTTTTAACTGTTTTCTTCCTTAAAAAAAGAAAAAAAGGGGGGGAGGGTTGATAGGGTTTTAAACATAAAGTACTCTAGCACCATACTCCCTAGCAGAGTCGCCACTTCTAACACTGGACCTCTGTCTCTCGCTGTCCCCTACTCCAGTGTTCCCCACCACCATCTGTGTAAGCCCTCTGTGGTAAGATTCCGACTGAAGACCAGTTTTCAGTTTCTTGTCTTCGGTCATTTGTTATTTCCTTTTATGTTATATGTTTCCATGTATCATATGGTACATCATTCGGTGTCTGTCCTCTTCTTCTAACTTCGCTCAGCATGATACTCTGCAGATCCATTCACATAGGTGCAAATTGCATGATCTCATCTTTTCTTAAAGCCAAGGAGTATTCCATTGTGTATATGTACTATAGTTCCTTTATCCAGTCATCTGTTCTTGGACACCTGGGTTGTTTCCGAGTTTTGGCTATTATGAATAATGCTGCAACAAACACAGGAGTGCAAATGATTTATCTGAATAGTTCTTGAGTACTCGGGATAGATGCGAAGAAGTGAAAATACTGAGTCACATGTAAACTCAATTCCTCGTTTTTTGAAAACTGTCTGTAATGTTTGACAAAAAGACTGATCCAGTCAACATACCCAGCAGCAGTAAATGAATGATGGTTGCTCTTCTCCCACATCCACAACAACACTGGTTGTTCGAGTTCTTTGTAACGTATGCCAGTCTCACTGGTGTAAGGTGATAATCACGGTCACGGTCCTCCCGTTATTCATAGATTTGCTCAAGCGGGCCCAGTAACGTCTCTATCATGAGACGTGTTGTTATTGTGTTTGGCATATCGAATACATCACGGGTAGCTTGCCAGGCTCTGCCGTGCGGGCGAGATACTCTCGGTAGCTTGCCGGGCTCTCCGAGAGGGGCGGAGGACTCGAACTCGGGTCGGCCATGTTGGCCGCTGGTAAGGCAAACGCCCTACCGCTGTGCTATCACTCCTGCCCAAGGTGATAATCATTATTTTATTTTTTTATTTTTTTATTTTTTAATAACTAAAACTGAGCATGTTTTTATATACCTTTTAGTGATGTGTATGTATTCTTTGAGGAAGTTTCTGCTCTTCTCTGCCCCACATTTATTGATGGAGTTCATCGATTTTTTTTTCTTATAAAGTTCTACCAGTGCTTTATGTATGTTGGATATCAACCCTTTATCAGATGAGTGATGGGCAAACATTCTGTCCCAGTTGTGAAGTCTTTTTTATTCTTGTCAATCTTTCCTTTGCAGTGCATAGCTGCTTAGTTTGATATAGTCTGATTGGTTTATCTTTGCTTCTGTTTGCCTGGCCAACAGCATTGAACCCTACTGTTTTTCAAGGCCTCTTCTTCCCTCACTCAAGAAACAACCACATTACTGCAAACATTAAAACTGCAAAACCCACCAAATTTTTCTCACTTCTTTACTCAAACAACTGAATTTGAGAAAGGTTTTACTGGTGAGAAAACTGGGCTTCATTCAACCAAAAAGCTGCTACTGTTGGAATCGCTGAACTTTTCTTAGAGAAGGAGCACAGTGTGATCACCTCATCTCAGTTAGAAATAAAGAAAAGCAATTTGCAAATAATGAGATAAAATTCAACAAGATAAATAATGGTTAATATTTACTCAGAGCTCACTATACACACACACACACACACAGTGTGTTTAGGACATTTATATATTTTTTGTTATTGTTTTGAGGCCACACTTAATTCTCAGGGATGACTCCTGGATCTGTGCCCAGGGTTCACTCCTGAGGGGAGTAGGAGGAACATATATGGTACCAGGAATTGAGCCTGAGTCAGCCACGTTCAAGGGAAGAGCATTATCCACTGTACTCTAGCTCTGGTTCTGCGCATTTACATTTCTTTTCTCAACTGGTTCTTAGAACTTGCTTAATATAAGCAAAAGAGATAAAAATTAAAGTCCATATTTTAGACACTAAAAAGTTATATAAAAATGTGAAAAAAAAATTATACAAAAAAAAGTTATACATTTCCCTGTATAACAAAATCATGACCGTTCAGTTAGAAAAACTGATTTACCACTTTTTTGCAGAATGTCATATAGAAATATATGACATTTCACTAAATCCAATCTTTAGATGAGGAACAGACTTGGTAAAAGACTCATCTAAGTGGGTCAAGGTCACAGAACTAAATAAGTTAGTTTTCTGTTACTCCATAGTGATATCTAAAATATAACGTGGGATTTTCAATTCCTCCGCCCCTCTCAGAGAGCCTGGCAAGCTACTGAGAGTATCTCGCCCTCACGGCAAAAGCCTGGCAAGCTACCTGTGACATATTCGATATACCAAACACAGTAACAACAAGTCTCACAATGGAGACGTTACTGGGCCTGCTCGAGCAAATCGATGAACAACGGGAGGACAGTGCTACAATACTAACATGGGATTTCAGGAATTTAGCTTTATTTAGCTATGCATATCTAGGGAGTAGTTTGATGGGAGGGGAAAAGGGTGGAAGGAAGTAGCCACTCTGGTGGCTAGTGTGCTGTGGCAATGATAAATCCATCAAATGTATAGTTAATAGTAGTTTAACTACTATTAGTAGTTGGGCTGGAACAATAGCACAGCAGGTAGGGTGTTTGCCTTGCACACAGCTGACACGGCCGACACGAGTTCAATTCTTTCTTCCGCCCCTTTCGGAGAGCCCAGCAAGCTACCGAGAGTATCTCACCCACACAGCAAAGCCTGGCAAGCTACCAGTGACGTATTCGATATGCCAAACACAGTAACAAGTCTCACAATGTTACTGGGCCTCCTCAAGCAAACTGATGAACAATGGGAGGACAGTGACAATAGTAGTTTATCACAGTACCTCAATAAAAATCAGAAAGAAAAAAATGCAACAATGAATGCCTTTTATGATGAAATAAGATAAAAAGACAAAATGATTAGCTGTACTATAAAAATGTACTATAGGCAGCTAACTATAAAAGAACGTAAAAGTTTATCTTTGCATACAGGCTAAGTCAACCATGTTATTCCAAAGTTTGCTTTCCTCATCAACCACCAGCACCTAGTCCAGAGCTAAAGAGTGCTACAATACTCAGTGAATACTTTTGAAAGCCTGTTCAGAATTCCTAGTTGTACTAATCAAAATAACAACTTATTATCTTATACCTGTAGTATCTGACAATGGAGTCACTATCCTCATGGGTTATGCACATTAAAATGAAATTAGATGAAAATTTCAGTTCCTCAGTTGCAATCACCACCCTCCAAGTGCTCAATCATATGTATGTGATCAGAAGCTTAGAACATTTCCATCATAACAGAAAGTTCTATTGAACAGTGCTCACCTAAGCATTCTAATAACCTTTTAATGAATATATGGAATAATATTCAAAGACAAGATCAAAGTACGATATTCAAAATGTGAATCTTCAGAGTACAAAAGATGGATCAAAATGAAATCTTCAATGTCCAATGCCACCCTGGGTTACTACTAGACACACTGCAGAATCAATAAGCATAAATCGTCTGCTCTATAAATATAGCATGGATAGAGAAGCAAAAATAGTTTCATTTTCTAAATTGTGAGAAAGAGCATAAAGCTCTAGACTTTCTCCATGTCATGTCTCAAAACGTAAGTTTCCCGAGGGGAAGACTGTGTGTGTGAACTGCTCTCTTCTCCAAGGAGTGTTTAATATATATTTGCAAAATAAATAATGCATGCATTTATTTCCTAGGAACACATACCAGTCTGAGGTTAACTAAATTCTGCTTTTTTTTTTTTTTCAGATTCTAAATTTCCAGGCTTATTGCTGCCTCTGGGACTTTTCTGGATGTCATTTCCCTGGAAGTTATCCCATGATCTCCATGTGACTGGTTTCTTTACCCCAACTTCCCATCACATGCTAGGGAAATTTTCGGCGACCACTGGGATCTTTAATGAGAAGTATGCCACTCTGCAGGGTTCTCTTAACTTGCTGCCTTACTTGAAATGAGCTACTGAATATGTTGCTTATTACCTATTTCTACCTCTGTAATAAAATATTAGAACACTGTCATTCTGTGGAATCCATAGTGGCAGGTGCATGGGTACTTTAAAGGGGGATGTGAGCGTGAATGTGGACCTGAGTATTCTTCAAATAAATTATATTATCTGCATTCTAGCTCAGCCCCCCCCCCCCAGCCAATTAACTACTATACTATGAAACCGTAGCTTTGTGACTATCCGGTGACAAAACTTACTTTTGGATTTTTTTTCCCTCTTTCACACACTCAACTTTCAAATTAAGTAGAGCCAAGACAAAGTTGAGTCAGCTGCCTTACAGGTGTTTTGTGTCATTTAGTTTTCAAACACCCACATTTGCAATCCTAACTCAAATCACGGTTGAATTTCTTATTGGGAGCAGTAGTGTGTGTGGGGGGGGGGGGAGGGGGGCTGGAAAAAAAAAGATGCAGACTTTAACAAATTAATATGATTATCATACTAACTTCGACACAAACTTCCAAACTAGAACATAATTCTTAACTACTTGGAAGCCTTGAGACAAACTTCTCAAAGTGGTCTGTAAAGCAGAAGTTTGTCCACAACCAGGACAAGGAAAGCTCTGGGGGTTAGGCGCTGGTGAGACTCATGCCCACCCCCAAGATTACTACACAGCACAGCATTTCATAACCACTTCCTTTTCTTCCAGATTTTGAGCAAGCTGGAACTACTGCTGGCGATAATCAGAAGACACTGATCTGAATTAAACAAATTATGTGTGTGTGTGTGTGTGTGTGTGTGTTCAAAAAAAGAGAGAGAGAGAGCAAATAATAAAGCATTTGAATGGGAAAGAGCAATGCTGGGTTGAGTGCAGGGGTGGGGAGGGCGGGGTCTTGCCCAAATTTTTTAAAGGACCCTAAAAAAAAAAGAAACAAACATCAAAGATTGGTGACTGCATCTTAAAACAGCATAGAGGCCTTGATGAAGACCAACTAATGACACGCACTGCGATCAAAGCGAGTGTGTCAGTCATCAGACCGAACCGGAAAAAAAAAAAAAAACAACTACAACGAGCGAACGTCTGCGCAGCCTTTACCGCGGTCACCGCCGAGGTCCAGGTCCTCTAACGTGCTCTTGAGACGAGCACTTTCAAGGAGTGTCCGGGTCGGAACCGTGCGGTTACCCAAGAGCTCACTCCGCGACCTGCTGCAGGCAGAAGCCGGATTCCTGCTGGCCGGCCCCGGCCGGCTGCGGCCCCGCCCGCCCGGCTGCACCCGGGGAGGAAGGGAGGCCCCGGGGCGTCCCCAGGGCGTCGGGCGCCTGACCGGCTCCACCGCACTGCACCGCCCCGCGCCCGGCCCGGCCCGGCCCGGCGGGGGACAAGAGCAGCGGCGGCCCCGCACGGTCCCGCAGCCGACGCCCTCCGCCAAGCCAACGCCTGCCGCAAAGCCGCGGCCACCTGACAATGCGGACCAAACAAGGAGGAGCGGGCGGCTCGGGGGTCGCCGTGGCTCGGGGGACACGCAGCCAAGGGAACCCCCTTCCCAGGATCCTCTTACCCTGACCTCCTCCAGGGCGCGCTCCTCCTCCGGCTCGTCCGCTCGGGGCCGGCGGTTCCCAGCGTCCGCACAGCCCCAGCGACGACTCTCAGCTGATGGGCGGTGGCGTGGGGTCGCTCAGTGCGCATGCCCGCGACTCGGTCCGCGGAAAGGAGGCGTGGCTTGCTGCACGTCTATTGGCCCAGGAAGATGAGTGACAGGCGCTGTCCTCCCGCCTCCCCTTGGACCTGAGCTTATAATAAAGCGGCGGAGTGCCGGGGGCTCGGAGCGTTGGGCTGGAACGACGTATGAGCAAAATTCAAACTTGTTCTTGGAAGCTAAAGGTGCAGATGGTGAATTCCTTTGCCTGCCTGCAAGAAACAAGAAGAGGAGGTGAAGGGCAGCTGTCTTTTTTCTCGAGTGAGGCGGGACTCTGCGGATGCGTGTCTTTAGCCCGCCCCATCAGCTCATGCCTGTCTCTTGCTTCCTAACGCTTAACGGTGATAGAATGTATTCATCGCTCCAGTAAAACGTGGGATCACAAATCTGCAGTCCTAGGAGGAACAATAAAGCAGAGAGTGGGGTCACCTTCGTGTGCTCCATTAGGGAGTAAATTTTTATAGCACAAGCCGGTCATTCTAAGCGTGCTTGAAAGGCAGATTTTTTTTAAGGGGGCGGGGGCAGAGAATATCCTAAAGTTCAAACAATGGAATTGTTAAGTGAAGAGCATCAATTGCTTCAGGCGAAATACCTCAGCAAATTAATTAGAAGATAAGATTAGCTTGCACCTTGCTTATGTGAAGGCAAAACTGATTTTTCTGAAAGGCTCATTATGATATCAAAATCAAAAGTCCAAATGCTCTTAGACTTGAGTAGAGGGGGCAGAAACAGAATATTTTGAGCAAATGCTACGTGGTTTGGCATTTTTGCATACATGTATAAGACACGCATAGTACATACACGCATAGTACATAAGAGAGTGAGATGAGCCATGGAGAAGAAACGCAATGGTCTCTCTCCCTTTTTAATCTTTCTACTTTAAGAGATAAATGAGAAAACGACATGCTTTTAATTTCTCATGTTTACTCAAGTGTGATAAACAGCATCTTACACTCTACCTCTTTGAAAAGGGGCAGGTGGGCGGTGTGTTGGTCTTGCTGACCAGCAGGAGGTACATTGAAAGGGGCAGTATGATTCAACCAGAGCTTATTGTAGACTTTTAGGAATATAAACCTAATTTCATTCACTAATCTGTTTTATCAAGATATAGTGGAAATTCAGATTCAAATGTCAAATCGGTTTTTCCAGGGGTTCGATTTTTATATTATATTTTCAGTCAGATAAGTTGATTCAGTCTCTTGGGAGATGAAACCATAGTAGAGCAGGTAAGGCATTTTCCTTGCACAGCAGAAGCTGAATTAATCCTCAGCATCCCTGAGCACTGCCAGGAGTGATCCCAGAGCGCAGAGTAAGCACTGAGCATTACAGGGTGTGACCTGAAAGCATGGTAGCACTGTCCTCCCATTGTTCATGGATTTGCTCATCTCCATTGTGAGACTTGTTGTTACTGTGTTAGGCATATAGAATACGTCACAGGTAGCAAGCTTTGCCAGGCTTCTGCCGGGCGGGCAAGGTACTCTCGGTAGCTTCCCAGGCTCTCCAAAAGGGGCGGAGGAATCGAACCTGGGTCGTCAAGTTGGCTGCGTGCAAGGCACTGTACCGCTGTGCTATTGCTCTAGCCCACTTCTCGGCCTTTTGGCTAAGATCAAGTGACCTGAAAGGAAACAAACAAAACTGGTTCAGTCCCTCTGTAAAGTATAATGGGATAATAAAGTTGGAGAAAGCCTTACAAAATTCTATTTCTATTTGCCCATTTCACAGATTAAAGAAAATAAACCCCCAAATTATCAAAAGCATACGGACAAGCAGCACAAGTGCCAAGCACCTAATTCAGAGACCCAAACTCTTTCTACTTTTTGTCAGTCAATCAGCAGAGTACTCCATGTGCCAGTACTGTGCCAGTCACTGCAGATACCAATATGACTAAGATATAGTATTTTCTTCAAGAAATTCAAGGAGTGAAATATTTCACAGGTCACTGTAAATGAAGCTATGGTAGATTTGTATACAGCACATTGGAACCTAGAGAAAAATGCCTGAAGATGGAGTCAGAGACCCTTCCAAAGAAGAAGTGATAACAATATCTGTATTGCAAACCATAATGCCCAAGAGTAGAAAGAGAGTATGGGGAAAATTGTCTGCCATGGAGGCAGGGGGGAGGGTTGGAAAGGTGGGGGTATACTGAGGATATTGGTGGTGGAGAATGTGCACTGGTGGAGGGATGGGTGTTTGATCATTGTATGGTTGAAACACAAACATGAAAGTTTGTAACTGTATCTCACAGTGATTCAATTAAAAAAAAACAATCAAGGGCAAATTCTAAGTCATGCCTATTTAAAGATACCTCAATATTAAAAAGACTAAAAAGACATTCTAAGCAAACTATAGGTAGACAGGAAGAATATGAGATAGGAAAGGCAAATGAAGTTAATAGGAAAAAAAGTATATTGTGGTAAATGACTGTAGCAGAGCTAAACCTGTAAAGACTTTTTTTTTGGTGAAAATTCAATTTTATTTTATTTTACTTTTTTTATTTTTATTAGTGAGACATCATGAGGTACAGTTGTAGACTTACAAATTTTTGTGCTTGGGTTTCAATTATACAATGATCAAATACCTATCCCTCCACCAGTGCCCATTTCCCACCTGTAAAGACTTTTAAGCAAAGATGTAGTGTCCTTGTAAATATTTGATATAAAAACATTCAGAGAAAGCTGGAAACTAAAAAGGAAGTAACACTGAGACTAGAGGAAAAAGAGAGTGAGTGAGAGAGAGAGAGAGAGACAGACAGACAGACAGAGACAGACAGACAGGGACAGACAGACATAATTTAGGAAGCTGTTGAAATTATAATAACTAGCAATTATAGCAACTAGCAAAAAAAAACTAGCAACTCCCCAATATCAGAGATACTGAAAATGCACTAAGGCAAACGCATTACAGAAAAGGTGAGGACAGCTTAGAGAAATAACTAGAAAAGATTTTGAAATCATTAGATACAAAAAAAGAAAACGAAGAGATGGTTTCTACTTTTAGGGTACTTGAAACTGAGCTGGACATGATCTAGCTATCTGACACTAAAGATGGCTAATAAAGCCATTGCACTTTGAGGAAGGAATGGGTGAAAAGAAGAAAATAAACACCAACATCCAGTAAATTTGGATTTGGGGATGCTTAATTACAATACTGTGGAAGTAATATCCAGTTTGAAATGTCCAGTGTCTCACAGGTATTTTTAGAAGTAAGCTTGGATTCAAGTTGAGGTTATAAGCTCACTAACTCTAAGAATGAATTGTTATATACTTCTGCTTAGGAAACATCAGAGAAAGAAAATCTGATAAAGGAATAATCAGAAAAAGAGGAATTATGTCAAAGGTAAATGACAAATACAGGAAATTATTTTAAAAAGAGAAAATTGTTGATGATATTACATGTCACAGAAAGTTCAAGTAAATTAAGAACTGAAATGTATGTATTGAATTTAAGAATGAAGAAGTGGCTAGTGAATTTAGGAGATACATTTAAGTCATGCAAAACACTTTTAAGAAAAAAATTTAAGAAACACTATTTTAAGAAAAACTGTCACATTTATTCAATATACTCTACCTGACCATAAGAGTTAATTAATTTAAATGTTGATATTCTAGCACTAGCAATATCATCCCCTTGTTCATCAGTTTGCTCTAGCGGACCCAGTAACATATCCATTGTGAGACTTGTTGTTACTGTATTTGGCATATTGAATATGTCACGAGCGCTTGCCAGGCTTTGCCATGCGAGCGAGATACTCTCTGTAGCTTGCTGGGCTCTCTGAGAGGGACGGAGGAATCGAACTCGGGTCGGCCAGGTTGGCCGCGTGCAAGGCAAACACCCTACCACTGTGCTATCGCTCCATCCCACTGATATTCTATACCATTAAATTTTTATTATTTTATATTTCATAATTGTTTAAGTAGTAATAATATTAAGGTTAATATTTAGGTCACAATAATAATATTTATGTTACATAATATTAAATAATACAATACAATAATATAACATAAGCATATTAAAATTAATACAATATAATCACAATCACAATCACAAATCATCCTGTTAGTCGTCGATTGCCTCGAGCAGGCCCCAGTAACGTCTCCTTCATCCTAGCCCTGAGATTATATTCAAGGCTCTTTAGGAGAATAAGACCCATCATTGTTCCTGGTATTTGGCACATTGGGTACGCCACGGGGAGTTTGCCAGACTCTGCCGTGTGGGCAGGCTACATTTGATAGCAAATACAAACTCGAGCAAATACAATATAATAATATAATTATAAGGAGCACTGTAGCACTGTCCTCCCATTGTTTTTGCTCGAGCAGGCACCAGTAACGTCTCCATTATGAGACTTGTTATTACTGCTTTTGGGATATTGAATAGTCACAGGTCGCTTGCCAGGCTTTGCTGTGCAGGTGGGATACTCTCGGTAGCTTGCCAGACTCTCAGAGACAGACAGAGGAATAGAACCCGGGTTGACCGCGTGCAAGGCAAACGCCCTATCCGCTGTGCTATAGCTCCAACCCCAATTGTAAGTGATACAATAATGTAATAATAAGAATTACAACAATAATATTTAGATTAACCATAATATTGAGGTCTGTGAAAAGGAGTAAAAGATTATTGCACTCCATCACCACCAAACTGTCCTGGGTCACCTCTAATTCAACTCTTCATTTCCCTGCTCCCTCTGCTTTAAAGCACTGTCTTGAGAAGAGCTCACCTTTGTAGAAGAGACTGGGAATTTTCAGGAAGGAAAGATTGCGTATTTTAGTGTGATCTTTGATAGAGCAAGGGGATTTGGGTGAGTTAAAAGCACAACATGCTGTGGCAGAATTCAAGTCAGTTTGCCTCTAAAGTGATCCATAACTCCCTGACTAAGCTAGAACCAAGGCTCAGCTGTCTGATTCCTTCTGGTCTCTTTCCTATTTTCATGTTTTAGAACACTTTATAAATTGATTTTTTTTAGATCTTTGA